TTAGCTTATTCAGCTCCCAGTAGTCAATACACATCCGATGTGACCTATCCTTCTTCTTGACAAACAGGATCGGTGCTCCCCATGGCGAAATACTCGGTCGAATGAACCCCTTGTCTAACAGCTCCTGCAGCTGTGTAGACAACTCCTGCATCTCTGGAGGAGGTAACCGATATGATGCTTTGGCTATCGGAGCCGCACAAGGAACCAAGTCAATCCTAAAATCCACCTGCCTCTCTAGGGGCACTCCAAGCAAGTCATCCGGAAACACATTCGGGTATTCCTGAACAACCGGCACATCATCCACAATCGCCTTACCCTTCTCCCGGGTATCCATAACATAGGCAACATATCCGAAACAACCCTGTTGAAGATAGTGTCTGGCCCTAGCTGCTGAACATAGAATCGGCCCATGCTGAGCACTCTCTCCCTGAACCACTAGCTCTCCCCCACATAGGGTCTGAATATGTACCATCTGATGCTCTCAATCAATCACTACCCCATTAGGGATCAACCATTCCATTCCTACAATAACCTTGTTCCCGCACAAAGGAATAGAAACCAAATCAATCGGATATTGCTCGTTGAACATCTCCAGAATACCACCTCGATGAACCCTCGATACTTGGAGAAATCGATCATCCGCAATCTCAACCTCTAATGGGTAATCCAGCTCCCCCGGAGCATTGACAAACCTATTGTTGAGCGCAATAGATACAAAAGATTGGGTAGCCTCCGAATCAAACAATACCAAGGCAGAGATACCGTTCACAAGGAACGATCCTAAATCAAAATACACAAATATAAGCATAGAAATCAACATAAATAAAGAGATAAAGAGAAGAGACATACCCGTCATCACATCAGGTGTTGCACGAGCCTCCTCAGTTATCAGCTGAAAAGTCGTGTACCTCATAACAGGCGCATCCGTCTTGCCCTGGCAGCCATCAGTAATCCATAAAGTCTTTGGAGCTGGTGCTACCATTGGTCATGCTACTGCTAAACTCGGGCAATTGGCCTTCTTATGGCCCTTCTGATTGCAATGAAATCAAATCAGATCAGATACCTGGGTGATGGTGGTGGCAGTGCAATCCCTGCTGATATGACATGTCTTGTTGCACTTGAAGCAGCCAGAACCACCCACCATGTACGCCCCCTCGTGCGTCTTGTTGCACTTGCCACAGCGGCCCCGACCCTGCTGGTCTCTCGATCTCGAGTCAAAAACCTTGGGCCTCTTTCTCGAACCCTCTAAACCTGATCCAGTTTCCTCTTCCTCTCCATCTCCAAGTCAATCTCTATCTTTCTGTCCCTCGCTATCATATCATCATGTGTCCTGCAACTGGATCGGCTCACAAACTGCTTGATATCGCTCCTCAGCATCTCATGGTATCTCGTCTTCTTCATCTCCTCGTCTGCCACATACTGCGGAACCAATAACGCCCTCTCATGGAACATAGCAGTGATCTCTGTTATCGTCTCAGTAGTCTGGCGAAGGTCCTGGAACTCCCTCGCCAACTGCTGGACCTCAATCACAGGTGCGAACTCAGCCCGAAATCTCGTCACAAAATCCTCCCAAGTCACGGACTTAATTTCCTCGCCACCCAAGGCATGTCTAACCTCATCCCACCAGTCTCGAGCTCTGTCTTTCATAAGACAGGATGCAAGTCGGACCTTTGCCTCCTCAGGATAAAGACTAGATCAAAAGGTGTTCCCAACGTTCGCCAACCAACTCCTACTCGCAATCGGGTCCTTCTTCCCGAAGAACTCCGGGGCTCCACATGCCCGGAACTCACGGAAGGTCAAAGTGCGAGCTCCCATCATCTTCACCATCTTAGAACGAAAAGCGCTCATCCAAAATCTCCATGATACCCTCCTTGAACGTGCCGAAGATCACAAAAGTTTGCTCGAGAATACTATGGGTAATCAATGACGAAATGAACTTCCACATCTGATCATCCATCTGTCCGGCTCTAGAACCCAAACCTGAACCCTCACCAGCACCAAAACCACTACCAGATCCTCCCCGAGTGACCACCATACTGAAAATAGACCATTCAACCCATCAGAACACACATATATAAACATTAAGGGATCCCATACTCTACAAGCTTCCTGGTATCATCGTGGCTTTTCTTGACTCGAGTACGGATTCTCTGCTTACAGTAGTATGGGCCCATACTACCTTCCACGTCTATCCGTACTTTCCTCAAGGATCGCCCCAAATCCTCCAATTTACCCCCTTAACTATACATACAACCCTCAACAAGACAATTCTCCCAGCACCAAATCTCTTCATAGGTTTTCCTAGGGAAACCACCACACTACTCCCCGCCATCAGCTACAGAAGGAACTCCCCCTAACACCCTCTAACTAGCTCACGAACACAGATACATATCACCAACACCAGATAATTATTCGAATGAAAGGTGTCACACTACAACGGTTGGACTCAAACAAGAGCTGCGCAATAGAGTTAAAACCTAACCTTCTAAAATTTTTTAATCTCAATAATATGTAATTTGGCATATTTGCTTACTAGTTAGCTGAATTTAATGAGAACTCCTAAAAGCACAAAGCAAGAAACATTCGAGCATTGAGTAATCGGAATCTAGCATTACTTAAACATGTCATCCTATCACTGACTGATTAGTACTAGCATGCAAGTCTACAAGCTCATATAGAAGGCATGCAAAGGCATCTCTCCTAGATCCTTAGCCCTAATCTAGCATGCAATTCACAGATTCATAGATCAAGCATATCATAAAACAAATGTATGGGTATTTTGGGAAAACTTACTTGAGCTTGGTCGGTTGCATGCACCACACCCCTTTCTTTTGTTAGAAAATTCTTTTTTATAAAACATTCCTTTTATAAAAATCTATCAAATCCTTAGTTTGAGTTCAGACACACCCGAGAGTGTGCCTGAATGCCTCAAACCAAGGCTCTGATACCAACTTGTAACGTCCCAAAATTTAAGACCAAAAATTTCATTTTTATAATAAGAAAACCATCATCCAAAATGTTTCATAAAAAGCATAATAAAATCAGATTATATCAATAATTATCCAGTTACATCAGATCCAAATAAAAAATGGAACAATGTGGTGTGTGCGATGCGATCATCCCAAGCTTTTCCTCTTCGATCCGGAAGTACCTAAAACATAAACTGAAAACCGTAAGCATGAAGCTTAGTGAGTTCCCCAAAACACCACATACCATACGTATCTAACATACAATGAGCCATTTCCTAACACTCATCGGGCCACGCCCAGTATCGAGCCCCGCTCAGAACAGATCTGTCAATATCATGTGATGGGCCTCACCTCATCACATCCATCAGGCCCCGCCCGGTATACATATAGGCACATAAACACATACAATAATCACTAAGACAAATAACATACAATACACTCATCATGCCCTGCCTGGCATCAGGTCCCGCCCGGTCTACATAACATATACAACACATGCAAGGGTCACACAGACAACTAGCATTCTAACCATAACAAATCATGGGACCGCATTGGTGCCTTCGACCCGCCAAACACAGTGAGGAAACTCACCTCAAGCTGCAAAATATCTCAGATAAATGCTCATACTTCAGATCCAGAAAATTCCCGCGCTAACCAATCAAATAAAACCCAATTAATAAGTTGGGCCATAAACCAAAGCTATGAATCTTATTCATCAGTACAACTCCCAGGGTAAAAGACCATTTTACCCTTTCCTCACTTGACCCAATAGCCAAGGCCCAACCCAATAGCTCCAAAAGCCCAAAATCCTAAATGGCACCCAAAGCCCATTATGGCCCAATCCAAGAAGGCCCAATGTCCAACAATAGACCAAAGTCCATAAATGATCCATAGAAGTTAAGGGTCCAAGACCAATACGCTCGACGTATCAGGCTCGTACGCCTTGCGTACACGATTGATCCGAAGACGGGGCTCGCACCCAATACGCTCAGTGTACTCAGGAGTACGCCCAATGTACTGTCCTGATTCCAAGTTCTTGATCAAAAGTCTTAATCACTTAAGAACTTAACATCCAACCCTCAAACTAACATCATATTAAGGTCCTAAACTATAAAGTCGAAGACTTTAAGCCTTTTCATGGCTAAAAACACCCCAAAGTCCAATTCTAGCATCTTAACTCTATAAAGAAGAACATCAACCTTGCATGGTTGAGCTAAACCCATAAAGTCATCATTTTTAAGTACAAGAGACCTCATACAAGCCTAGATCTATCATCCCAAGCTGCTGGAGTAGCCCATACTCCCAAACAAGGCTTAAAGGACCCAAAAGTGCACAAATAAAGCCCTAAACTAGATCTAGCATAAGGAACTATCAAGTTGGGAGCTTTGTACCTCAAATAGCTTGCAAAGTTGATGAAGATCCTGGATCTTCAAGCTCCAAGTCCACAAAAGCCTCTCCACCAAGCTTCACTTCCTTCAAGGGGCACAAAAACACCACACAAATCACACAAAGGCTCACAAACACTCAATGAAGATTAGGGTATCGTTCTTAGGGTTTCGAAAAGTGGAGGCTAACCATAAGATGCACCCACGACATCATAAGTTGTTTAAATAGGGCACACACCCTAAAAATTAAGGTTTACCCCTGCTTAGCGTACACTCAGCGTACTTCCATGTATGGCCAACATACGTGGGTACCTTCGCGTCCATTCTTCGAGCCAGTACGCTCAACGTACGCAACTAGGGACCAATGATGAAAAGAATTTAAAAATAGGGGTTAAAAGGAACATACCCATAAATTGTGAATGTTACAGTAATACTAGTTTATTGATATTTTATGACGTGACATTAAAAATGTTTATTTGATATTTTTGAAAAAAAAAGTGACCACGATTTTTTTTAGGGAAAATATCATTTTAACTCAACGAACTTGTCACGTTTATTTTAAAATGTCATTCAAGTTTTATTTTTATTTTTATTTATTTATTTATTTTGCATTTGAAGGGAATTAATTATGATATGACCGGTTGAAATGGTCCCTTGACCCATGATAGAAGGTATCATGCCAAATCACACAAAAATAGAAAGATCGTATGGCTCTCTTTACACGTACATACATCTCGGCTTTGTGATTGTCGCATTTAGTAACCAAAAATCATACAGGGGAAATAATGGCATCACAACCATGTGATTGATTAATGGTTTTCTGAGTTTTGAGAACCGCCATTGTTTCAAGTCTTTGCTTCCAATTTCCTAAATAATGTGCAACTTCCCTATGATTACAGTATGACCCTGTACAAGAGTATCTCTCTTTTGTTGACGATGGTAATTTTGTTGTTGACGGCGTCCTTTCAGACAACCCAATAACTCCATTTGTAGCTTTTGGTACGCACATATGCCTTTTCTTTTCGTCTTCTTCCTCTTCCAAGCTCGATCGTAATTCCAGATTATAATTTTTGACATTTATATTTACAGATTGCTTATCTCACTTGGGGAAAAATGAATCACAAAAGGGTAATATTCTATTTGAGTATTCATGAATCATTCACTTTTAGAAGTAATCTTTTTCTTTATCAGACAACATTTCATTATCTGGTGTATGTGTGTGTGTTTTGGTGGTTCAGTAAAACCTTTGATCATCTCATTTGAAGGAGCAAGCGGAGAGTACCCTGGTTGTACGGACATGGCATACGAAAAATCCGTTTCAGATGGTGCATATATTATCGATTGTCCTGTTCAGATGGCGGGTGATGGAATACCAATTTGTTTCTTCTTTGTTGGTTCCTGATTGGAAAACCCGAGTCTATCAACAACATCACTCATCTAATCTCGTTTTCCTTTATTTGTTGAATTGAATATCTGAAGACAGGAATGATGCACATGCATTATTTTTTTGAAATTTAACAAACATGTTGGAAAAAAAAAGAGATAAGCAATGCATAGAAGGTGTTCGACAACATGCTTGAAAGAATAATTTTGCCTACATCAGACCTCTTAGGTGTTAAAAATATTTATCAAACATACATCACCATATTTTACCTAGTAAGCTGGTATCAAGTTAAATAAGGACATTTTAAAACTGTAATCTCATACTTCATTCCCTTAATATACAAAAAAAAAAAAATAAGTGGCCTTTTAAAACAAACGTAATAAGTTTCTTGGGTTAAAATGATATTTTCTCATTTTTTTTATGAGAATAAAGTTGTTAATAAATTTCAATTGCTAATTGATGGTGAGATTGATGTATTTAAGGGTGTTTGGGATTGTTTTTTAAATTAAAAGGAATTTACGCAAAATAACTTATTGACTTATATATATATATTTTTAAATGAGTTTATAAAAAAATGTTTAGATTAGCTTTTATAGTTGGAAAAGTCAATGAATTAAAAAATGTTTGGATAGTTTTTATATGTAAAATGATCCAAAAATAACTTATTGACCTATGACTTTTTAAAAAAAGGATGATTTTTAAAACTATTTGAAACCTTTGTTTTCTCTTTTGCCAAAAAAAAACACATTTCAAAATGACTTTTCAAAAAGTCAAATATCTTTTTAACTTATTGGCTTTGTGAAAAAACCAATAAGTTAAAAAGTTAATTTAAAAAAGAACCTCACACACCCACCTAAAACTCTTTATGTCTCAAAATACGCAACTTGGTATTATAATGCGTTTTCATTTAAATTATAAGAGATATTTTGTTTTGGTATTATACTTATGTTGTTTTATATATTTGGATTGATGTAAAAGTTATGATTGCGTGTTTTTTAATATATTTTGATTGATCTGGCATTCTAATAAAAACCGATTTTTAAAATATTGACTAGAAGAGTATCGTTTCTTAGGCTAAGGGGAGTGGTCACATTCAACCCACTCAAAAAATGCTGACAATTCAGCGTCACGTCAGCTCAACTACAAGCTCACCACCAAACCACTAGCTATTGGAAAATGGTTATCACTCCATAATATTTATCTTTTTATTTTTATTTTTTTGACATTAAATTAAATAAAAAGCATAATTTAAAACATAAATAAATATTTTACATTAATTATAAAACACATTATATTAATTAAAAAACATAGAAATTTAAAACCTAAATTACTAAAACAAAACATAATAACACAGAAAATTAAACCTAAATTACTATTAAAACATAGAAAATAAAACTTAAATATTAAAACACTAGAGCCTAATTTCCATATTTTTCGCGAACTTGTTGTTGGACTTTTAGAAATGCAGCTAGATTTTTCGGGTTTAAATCCGGTTGCGGCTTTGTGTTTAAAATTTGAAGATCGGTAAGTGCTATTTTTTTGGCGACGAACGTCCTCCATTGATTATTTTTTTTTTCTAGAAAAGTTAGAGTCATGTCTTATTTTTCCGCAAGTACGTCTTCGCAAACCGCTTTTCCGCTTGAAGACCCTGCATTTCTCGATTTATCTCTTCCCAGTGGTTGACGAAGTTGGACTTCCGGAAGTTCTTGGCCTTTTGTTGGATCCGGTGGTAGATCCCGAATGAACCGTCTCCTGATAAAAGGACTCATTTTTTACCGTTACGACAAAATTTCCATGCTTTTTGGTTGTCGAATGGTTTGCCATTATTGGTAATTTTTTATTGGTAGCATGCGGTTGATAAAATATTGAAATCGTTGCTACCATTTTTGTGCATATTTTTAAGATTGTTAAAATATGTTGTTAAATTTCGTCCAAGCCGCTCGTAGGTTACGCCATTTTGCATTGACCGAATCGTATGTCCGCTCCATTTCTCTTCTTAATAGTGCATGAAAGTGGTCTATAACACGATTCCAAAAACTTTGACCCGATTGCACGTTCCCGGTGTCACCGTCTTGCGATATGAAAATCCAAGCTTTCGCTAAAGCTTGCTCCTCGTCTTCGGTCCATTGCGTAGTTCTCTCTCTCTCTCTCTCTCTCTCTCTCTCTCTCTCTCTCTCTCTCTCTCTCTCGGTTCTTTTCCTTTTTTTTTTGCCTTCTTCGAGTTGGTTGCTGTATTTCTTGGACCCGTTCGTCTTCGTTGTCGAGGTTTATAGGTTGGGATTGAGATAAGGGATGAGTGTGGGACGGAATCGATACCCGTACCGTTCCCGATTTCCAGAAAACCGAGTTTAATCAAAAGTCAATCGCGAATACCAAACCGAATTAACATCACCGGTACGGTTCGATACCGATTCCAGTACGGTACCGGTACGAGATCAGGATTTGGTACAAACTGCTTATCCCTACTTGAGATGGTTGTGAAGGTTGCACGTGAAATGATTGAGGTTGAGAAGATTGAGGTTGAAATTGTTAAGAATGTTGTTGAAAGACATGCTTATCCCTATTTGAGATGGTTGTGAAGGTTGCACGTGAAATGATTGAGGTTGAGAAGATTGGGGTTGAAATTGTTAAGAATGTTGTTGAAAGACATTGAATTGAGATTGATTGAATTGTTGCGGTCGTTGTTGTTGGTAGTAATTTGGGTGGATAGAAAATTAATGAATAGAGGTTATTGGATCGAGGAAGATATCAATTGAATGTAACTAAGATTTGCATATAGATCATTTTGAGTGTTTAAAGTGTTTGGAATGGATGAGTTATTTTGATTTGGATTCATAGGTTGAAAAAATAATGAGAAAATATAAAAAAGTTGTGTGTTTTTGTACTGCGAAAGAAAATAAGTGGTATTTATAGTTGTAGTTTGTGTGTTTAAAATTAAAAATTAAATAATTCATGTTCACGCGTGACTTGGGTTGCCACGTAGGAAACCCGCGCATGGGGGATAGCCCATCCCGGATAGCCTTATGGTTGCATCCCAATAATTCATGTTCAAAATGTAATTTTAATTCATATAATATCATATTAATACATACAACAATCCTGTACACAACAACAATCCCAAATTCACGATCCCTACCCCCGCCGTAGAATGTACTTCCTCCCGGAGCCCTGGCGGCCACGACTGACCATAAAATCCCGGTGGAGAATTCAGCGGCGGAGGTGACATAACCGGCGACTGAGCTCCAGCTGCGGCAGGAGCATCAACCACTGTTTCTTTCTTCCCAAATATCTCTTTCGGTAATAAAACCTTCGAAATCCCAAAAATCGCAATCGGGTTCTGATCAGATACGGTTTGGGTCACGGAAGCTTCCACTATACCCGTACTGATTGCAACCGACCCGTTAACCCGAGAAATGTTCAATGTGAAGCTTCCGGCTCCTTTATCTTCAGTAGCTAGGGTTGGTTGAACCGGGTTCACTATTGACTCGAGCGACCCGAGTGGGTAATATGAATGCAATACATGGAATCGTAACACATCGGCTTTCTTGTCCGCCGGCAAGGATTGGAAGTTTGCGGTGGCCGGTAGATCGGCGAAAGCATCGTCTGTAGGCACGAACAAGGTTATCCCTGCTCCGCCTGCTTCAGATTCGAATTCCTGCACGACTCCCGAGGCTGAAAGGATTGACGCCACTACATTGAAGTTGTGGCCGTCGATTAGGGCTTTAGTGATGTTAAGCCCCAACGGTGGACGACTTTCCGCCGCCATCAGATCGAATCCGTATGGGAGAATGAGTGAATTGACAGTGAAGATGCTGACGTTGTAAGGTAAGGTTACGACGAGGGAGATGACGGTGGCGTTGTTGTTGTTGGGTGTTTGGGAGTCAGCTGATAGCGATCGGATGGTGGTTGTGTCGGTGTCGGGGTTGTGTGTGACGTTGACGGAGCCGAAAGTGTCGGCAGCTCGGCCGGTGGTTTGGAAGAGGGTGGTGATGAGTTTTCCGGATGGAGGATAGCGGCGGAGGTCGTGGACGGTGATGTACTGGAGTAGGACGTGGTAGCGGAAGACGTCGGCGACATTGGTGGATGAAGAAGAGGAAGAGGAAGAGCGACGGATAAGGTTAGAAGAGCGGAGGAAGGAGTTGGGGACGGCGAGGAGGGTGATGGAGGTGCGGTGGGAAAGATCGTCGGCGACGTTGGTGGTGGAAAGAAGGTCGGAGAAGTCGGAGAGATCTGGGTAAGGGGATAAGAGATGGGTAATGTTGACGGCGGAGATGAAGGCCGGGAGGTAGGAGAGTAAATAAATGGGTATCAGAAGGGTAAAACGGGAAATACACAGAGAAATTGCCATTTCTCTGAGGGGTAGTGGAAAGCCTGCGATGGGAAGGGAAGGGTATTGGGTTGAAAAGGGAAAGGGGAAGGGATATGATCTGGTGATGATGGTGTATGGTTGTATGGTGGTGATGATGTGATTGTGTATGATAATGAATAATGATGATGACGATAATGTTTTGTAATTGAAAGCAACACTTTTGTCTGGCTCGAATATTAAGTCCCTGTACTTTAAACAAACAGCTACTGAACCCTCTATGTTTTACACATTACCACCATTAATCTACTACCAAGTACCAACTTGTAGTCATGTTTATACATGAACACGAGATGGAAACTAGTTGCACAAGTAAATTACAAAAATGATCCTTCTGATTTTTATTTTTTTATTGCCTTTTGTACATTTTTAAAACATTTTGCAAATTTAGTCTTGATTACATGATTTGTATCATTTTTGGTTCTTATATCAAGTTCTGTTATTTTTCTAGCCTTATTTATAATAATAAATAATAATAATTAGTGAAAAAGAATTAGACAATGGGTAAAAGGTTATTTTTACATGAGTTGAAAATATAATAAAATAAAAGCTCATGAGCATACTTGTTACGATATTTTTTAGACTAAAACTGCAATAAACGTTATAGAATTGGAAGCAAGCTTGTTTTTTGCTCAACCTTTTATATGCACTATCACCTTCTATTAAGTACGAATCTGGTTGATTTGAAAAAAGATTGTAGAAACTTCCGGGACTTTAGGAAGTTCAGAAGGGCAGAAAACCATAGTCGAGAAATGATATACATAAATGTAGGGGTGAACATTTGGACCGAACCGGTTACGGCGAATATTATGGGCCATGGACCGGATTGGATGAGACTTACCGGGTCCAGGTCCATGTCTAGGTTTTCCTGTTCTTGGACCCGTTTCTACCGGTACAACTTTACATGCATACGCTACAACTTGTTAAAACGTGTTTTTGGGTTTGATACAACTTGTTAAAACGAATATGTTAATGGATATGATACGTTAAAACTTGTTAAAATTAATACTTTTTGGGTTTGATACGGTACAACTCGTAAAAATGAATACGTTCCCGTTTCTTGTGCCATTTGGACGAGTCAAACTCTGACTGTTTATACTTTATGTCATTTGTTTGAAGGATTGTAACTCATTGAATATAATGTCAAAAATAAGAAAATTATAGTCTAAAATCATCTACAAACTCTAAATTACACGTTGGGAAAACCTGCATGTCAATCCGACTTAAAACAAATGAGATAAGCTTGTTTAAAAATTTTCACAAAATATAAAAGTTTAAATTTCTTGCTGAAAAACTGAAATATTTTAGCTTTGATATCTCATCTTTGAAGAACTGTAACTTATCGAATATAACATCAAAATTAACAAAACTATAATCTAAAATCATCTTCAAACTCTAAATTACACGTTAGAAAAACCTTCTGTCAATCCGACTTAAAACGAATGAGATATGCTTGTTTAAAGAATTTCATTTAAATTTCTTGCCGAAAAGTTGAAATATTTCAACTCTGATATCGTATGTAACATCCCAATTTTCAAGGCCAAAAATTTCATTTTTAAATAAGTTATTACATAAAACCATCAGTGTAAAAACATTCATAATAATATCTCGTGTCAAACCAAAGTGTCAGTAATCAAAACATATTATCATAAAACCATATCAGAGTGTAATCCCAAAGATCTCATGTGCGGAAAACATAGTGTGATGCGTTGCGATCAAGCCGGCTCCTTTCCTTTGAAAACGAGTACCTGCAACCAAAACTGTAAACCGTAAGCACAAAGCTTAGTGAGTTCCCCCATCATACCACATACCATACAATCATATAATGAACAGCTAGGAGATACGGGCCTCGCCCACACTCATGGAGATACGGGCCTCGCCCACATTCCGCTAGCTGGGAGATACGGGCCTCGCCCACACCCCACTGTCTCTGAGATACGGGCCTCGCCCACACTCAGCTACTAAACCATAGCATACAAGTATCACACAGACAACGAGTATAAACAATTCTATCATACAAGCATATATCATAATCAAACTCAACTATGAGATACGGGCTCTGCCCACACTCCAATACTAACGTATCATCTATACGGGCTGGCCTTGGTGCCTTAGACCCGTTCCTACTGGAAGGAAACTCACCTCACACTGCTGAAGTCCCGTAGACACAATCCCACATTGCTGAGGTCCCGCAGACTCAACCCCAGCTGCTGGATGACAGATTCCCGAACTGTCAACACCAAAACATCACCCAATTAATAATTAGGTCCCAACACATAACCAATAGTACATTCTTTGGATAATTACTACATTACCCCAAACTTGGCTCATTCAAGCCCAAGGCCCAATCCATAGGCCCAAAGTCAATTAGGAATCAAGCCCAACACATGGCCCAATTTTCCAAATTGGGCCCAGGCCTATACATGGTCTTATTCTAAGGCCCAACATCATATAATCATTAAGGCCCAAACTATGGCCCATCTATGGCCCAATTTTCCAAATTGGGCCCAAGCCCCTTACATGGGCCTTACCCTAGGCCCATTAAATTACTCTAGACCATTTGCTTGATCTTGGATAGCCCATTTAATAACCCGATCATCAAGGCCCAATAGAAAGGCCCAACAATAAACCCAAGTGAAATTAGGGTTTCACATAAAATGATGATTAGGGTTAAGTTTCCTACTTAACCCATTAAGGACTTAATCCATTAAGGACTTAATCCATTAAGTCCAATATTGCTTAGATTAATTTCTGCGAATGATTATTATTTAATATTCCAAGTTATTAATAAGTCCCGTGTGTCTCGATTAATTCCCCAAAATTAGGGTTTTGATGGCATTAGGGTTTTCCAAACCCTAATTAGGGTTTCCAACCCAAATACTAGCCCATTTATTAATTTGTTGGGCTTTTAGGTCATTTAGAGCTTTATTGGGCCTATTGAGGTCTCTTTGGGTCAATTAGGGTCAATTAGACCCATTAGGGTTTCCTTAAGCCCATTGATCACATGTTTGGGCTTTTATGTCCATTAAGCCTCATTGGGCCCATTAGGGTTTCAAGGCCCATTAGGGTTTTAGTCCCTTGTCCAAACATCCCAAACTAGCAATCCCAACACAACTAAGCACACCGCCACCCGACACGGCGGCCGGTGGCGGCAGGAGGCGGCAGCCACCACCTCACGGTGGTGGTTAGGGTTTCTTTCTCATTATTCCCTTTTCTTTTACAATTTACAATGAAATACCAAAATTCACACACACCCTAAGGTGTTGTTTGTTTTTTCGGAGACAAAATGTCTGCAGTCTGCGGATCACATCTGCAAACCTCTGCTGTAGAAGAGGTGGACCAAATGTCTGCAGTCTGCAAGAAGAAGACTGTTTGTTTTTAACGTCTGCATGTTGTTAAAATATACTGAGATTTAGATATACCGGTTTTTTTAAACATAAAAATATTACAAAAAACTAAATTTTTCATCAACTATAACTTCAACGACTAAATAAAACATACAACTAATTTACAAATATAGTTTGGGGTGAGCAAAAACTGAATCGATAATTTTTTTGATAAAAACGCAACAAAACGAAAATAATAAACCGAAACCGCTACAAAATTCGATGATGTGATGATTCGAAGGGCTAAAACTATGTTGGGATTCAATAATCAAAAAATTAAATGAACTTAGTTATTAATGTGGTATAAATTATGATAACTGAAAAATAAAACTTCATTAAATTTTTTGATATTATATCAATGATATTGTTTCTATCCTAAATAACATAAAAAAAGTTACTGGATTTATTTACATTGCACAAAAATAAAAATATCTATAAAACTATGTCAAAACTATTTGGATAAATATATTATTTGAATAGAAAAACATATACATAATCATATACATAAACATTTGGGTTAATACATAATTATGATATAAAAAACAATAAATAAAGTAACAAATAAATACATAAAAAGAAATGAGGATGACAAAAGTATAAAAAATAAAAAACGACACTAAAAATTACAAAAATTTTTTTTTTTCTTTTTTAAAAGTTAAATACATATTGTGGAAGAGATAAGAAAAGGCTAGAATATGTTAGAAGACATAGGTCCATATCTGCGCCAAGAAGAGGACGCGCAAACATTTTTAGGTCTGCGGTCTTTTAAAAAACAAACAGTCTGCGAGACCAAACATCTGCGCGTTGTCTGCGCCGCGCAGACATAAGAGGTCTGTGGTCTTTTAAAAAACAAACAGTCTGCGAGACCAAACACGACAATTACCACAGAGCCCTTATCTTCATAAATATTTACAAACTGAGTCCGGGACTCACACTTTTAACCCCTGACTTCTAAAACTGTGACAATTAGCTCCTCGAAATCATCCTTTTATATATATTTATTTATTTTAGGGCTACCATTTGCTCATTAATTTATTTAGTTATCTAATAAATAAACAGGGTGTTACAACTCTCCCCCACTTAAATTAGATTTCGTCCTCGAAATCATTCGTTACCCTTCCTTACTCGCCCAACCACTCTAGTAGCATGGTCACCAACCTGGGCACGCCCTAGCCTTCCCAGGGTAGCCATGACCAATCCTCGTAAAGCCCTAAAATCCGCCGGTGAACGAATTCCTTACCACAAGATCACATCCACTTCGTCTAACATCTGCTGCCTTGAGATAGTATGATTCCCTGACAGACCACTCATACAGAATCACTATCGTTGAATCCAATCCATTTATCTCACAACTGACTACTCAACTTCTGATCACTCGCGGTTCCCACTATAAAACAGGGTCACAGACCCAATTATCCTTCAATAACACTTAGACTCGGCCAAAGCTCAACTAATTCCGGTGCGAGTGACTTGGCAATCCCAAACAATCTGTTATTCCGTCCGAACTTGCAACCCTAAACACAAATACTAATACCGCCCAGACGCTAAAACTGCCCGAACACTGAACTGCCTGAAGCAGTATGTTGCCACATGGCT